GGTGTGGCGGTGTGGGAGGGTGGAAGTTGGAGCAGCAATAGCTGCTCGGAGGGAAACATTCGTCCACCCGTACACTGCAGTCAAGCTTTGTTTGAGTCCCCGAGACCTACATTTCCAGGACGAAGGCAGCCAGTGAAGGTCCTGGCTTTCCTGAATAAGGAGTCCGACCAAGGCACTACATGTGCTTTGGCATGTTTTCTACAGAAATGTTGTAAGATGAGGGGAAAAAATTGCTCATGGAGCTCAGGAGGACTTGTGTGAACGCTGAGACGTGTATGACTGCTGCGACTAAAACCAGACTCTTTGGCAAAGGACGTGCGGTAATTTGATTCAGAGGAGTTCGGACCCGTTCTGGTTTGCAGGGGAAAAACGTCACCACAAACATTAGGATGAGCAGCCTTGCTCTTCAACAACTGTGGCTTTTTATTTTGGTTAAGTGTGTTCAGATATTTTTCTGGGATCTATGAAGAATGGCAGCGCTGCTCCAAAAAGGAGCCTTGTTCCGCCAGCGTAACTTGATTTGGCAAGCTTTCGTTTGTCCCTGTTTCCTACTATCTGTTGCCAATTGTTAAGTGTTTGTCAACAGAAACATTATCCTCTCTTCCTCTGTTGACTCATGTCTCTTCTCTCCCCAAGCGAGTTTTTAGGGGAGACGTTTATTAAAGCAGAACGTTCTGATCACAAAGTGGCTGAGCTTTGGCTGCGACTTAAGGAATTCAGGTTTCTTTTTCAGCTTTTGAGCAAGTTAATGTCCCTTTTTTGCACTTTTGGGGGGTGGTGTGTCTATAATTCAATATGGTGTTACACAGCTGGTCATATCATAAAATCCTTTGGCCAGCGGCTTGCTATTCATGCTGTGAACCTTTTGAAGTTTTTGGTAGCTGTTCTGTTGGCAGCACTCCCAGATGCAAATAGATGGGTGCCTTTGTAGGAAAGAATTGCCAAACCTTTTGTTCAGCATCTATGGCAGTTTATTTTAAAGTATAGGTAACTTCCTGTGACTAGCCGTAAAACATGTATTTGTCTGATTTGTTCAGTGCACACTTTTGTGAAAGTGTAACGTAACCTTGTCCTTTCTTCTCCAACTGCAGTACGTGCAGAAATTGTGCATAATTTTATTTGCCTTTTGTTCCGCTGAGGTTTATTTTCTACATATACTATAAAGCTGTTATGAAAGCAGGAAAAAGTTGTTGGTGATACATGAAATACTTTGGGCTTGGGAATTAATAGCATAACTTTACCTTGGTAAGCTGTTACGAGATGGGAGTGATTACTGTTTTGTAGTAGAGGGGTTTTTTTAACGTGTCTCTTCAACTTCTCTGGGTTATCTCCTTTTGCACCCTGTTAGAAATGCGAAGTCACAAAAATTTTCCTTAGATGCCAGACTGGTTCTCTTCTTTCTCGAATATACTTCAGATGCCTTATCTGACCTTATGTGCATTGCTTCATCTTGCTTTCCTTCAGTTTTTGTTGTGTAAAACATCAACTCCACGTATTCTGCAAAAGCTCAGACAGCGTCAGAGCACAGGCACTAGCTCGGAGCCTAGGGAAATACTAAGACCAGTTGAAGTTTCTGTATTGCAGAAATTGGGTATTGGTGCTTAAGAAAGTGTGAGACTGGTGATGGTGAAAGAAGGAACCATTTGGGACCTCGTTTAGGCCAGTGGTGGCTTGTTGGTGACAGCTGTGGTGGGATTTCTCTGAACACAGGCAGCCGCAGCTGAGCTTTGTCTGCTTTGCTGTTGGTAGAGAAGAACAGGGAGCTTCAAGATGTGATTGAATGCAGAGGTGCAACGCCAGCCCGATGCAGAGTGACCAGCTCACTCGTCAGCACTTAGGTTGTAGTCAGGTGAAGTTAAATGAGATGAATCCCTCGTTACTGTAATGTTTTACCCTCTAGTCCGGAGTAAGTACAGGACAAAGGGTATCAAATACCACTTTTAAGCCTGACCACCTGAACGCTGCTGATTGAGTTCTCTGTCATCTCTACAGAAGATGAATCAATACCAAACTTTGGATGAAGTAATTTTTCTTTTGTTGATCAGGCCTGCAAACGGCTTGGTCATGAGGTCAGAGGATATCTTGTGTGTAGCCTGGCATTACCAACGGCCTACTGCTTTTTAGGCTTTTTTCTCAGGCGTAACTGGGAGCCATCATCATCACCGTTCCCTCCACAGGCTGCCAAGGACTTGGAGAAATTCACGGTGGACAAGGGACAGAGTGCTCATCTTCTCTCTAAATTGCCCTCCGTTTCTGTCTTCCTTCTGGTTGTGAATTACAGAGCTTAGTTGTTCCAGTATGATACTTAAATCAGTATGATTTTCCTCTATAGCAGATTTGTTGTACATTATTTACATGAGTTCTATGTACTCATAACTAACTCACTCTCTTGAAGCTCTTCATGTGCAAGTTGTTTTCATTAGTTAGTAGGTCCAAGTCCTCCTAGCTGCTACGTGCCAAGTAGTGTCTGTGTCCCACACTAGTGATAACAGCTGCTGAAGGAAAAATCAGTATGGGGAGGAAACATGGAGGGAGGTGGGAGGAAGCAAAAAGGCTTCACCAGAAGAAGCAGCAGCTCTGAGAACCTGAGAAGAGTTTAAAAGAGCGTGAAGAAAGACAGATGAACCAGAAAGAGGGAAAAATGTAACAAAAGCAACAGATGTGCTCGCAGCCTTTCTAATTAATTTTTTATGAAAGCTACTGTTAGGTTTATTACTCTTTTAAATTATTAGTGATTCAGCTATGAAGAACTCTGGAGATGCTTGTATCTTTCATCATATGGGTTAGTAAACTGTGTTTAACACTTGAGGGATGGGACCAAGGCTGCACACTTGTGATGATTAAAAAAAATTAAAATGCCATTAGAAAAGTGTCATCTCCCCTTTAAATTAATCATAATTAATCACAGCATAGCTGAGATGAAGTTATATGTATTCCTTAGCACAGCGTTTAATTAGGGCTTTCGTTTCACTTCAGATGTTTTTGAAATATGTTAATCTTATTTTTCCCCTCTGCTGTAATGAATTGTGTAATTATTTAGCCCATGGTTAGGGAGGGAAAAAACCAAAGTGGATGAAGTTTTTCTGTTTGTTTTTGTTTTGTTTTCCACAAGTTGGTATTTCTGGAGAGAGGTAGAAGGGGAAAGGGAAAAATGTACAATGTAAAAACTTGGAATATTATTCTATTTTTTAACATTAATTAATTGTTAAAGTTTTTTTTGGAGGGAGCTGATTGCTGCTTCCTCGCAGAGGTGTACTTTTTAGTGGCCTCAAGCAGCACAAGTGGCAGAAAGACTCGGGTACCTGAGACATCTCCCTCTTTGGTCCCAGCAGATAACCGAGCTGGCCGTACGTGTTCCTTGGTGCCAGTGGCTTCAGGACACGGTGTCCACTGCCGGTGCCAGCGCTTGCATCCCGATTCAGACGCTCGAGTGTGGCTCAAAACTGCAGTGGGTTTGCTGGGCCATGGCACTTCGGGTCCTGTGCAGGCGGTTTTCAGAGACGCCGCCTCGTGCAGCTTCATCATCGGTGTGTTTCCTGTTCAGTCCCCAGTGAAACAGAGTCCCTCTGGGATAGTTGACTAATAATCGGTGATACGGTGTCAGGAAAGAGGAATGATGCGGGCTACAGAGTTGTGATGTCATTGTGTAATGACTCCTGATAAAGTACAGTATGATTTATCTGCACACATAGTCCAGGATGAGTGTGGGAACAGATAACTTAAACTTTTTGTTTCTGAGAGGAGCCTCCCTTCTCACAGCAATGTGCAGGGGTTGAATTGGATATCGCCCAAAAAAATTAAACAACCAACCCCACTCTTTTTGGGTAGGTGTGCCACTGGCATTACTAACAAAGTGGAATTTTTACAAGTGCTTTTCAGGAGTGTAGTAATTTGTCTTCAGTGATAGTGTGATAATGATTGCTTCAGTCGGATAAACTAGCAAGTTTGTGTTGGCATCCTGGATGGTGCTATGTATTTTTACATCCAGCACTTAGAAATTTTTTTTAAAAATTAAATTCCTTATCTATTCCTCAAATAATTCATAGCAAGATCAGAAAGAAACTAGGTTAATTTTGACATTGGATTCTGTTTCTTAAGCGATCATGCAGAAGTCTGAGAAAGAAGAGAAGGGAGGGAGGGCAGCGTGCAGGGAGGGGGCTTATAGGCAAAATGCTCTTCAGAACCATGTCAGCTATTTTTGTCCTGTTCTTGTTCTTTCTCCCTCCCACAACTTTCCATTGTACCAAAATAGTTCAAAATGTTTATAGTTGAGGGCAAGTGACATCACTAATTGTCGTGCTGTGCCTTGCTGAGTATTTCTGTGACAGGAGCCGATTCCTTGTTCCATGACGGCCTTTCGGGACTCTCGCCCCGCTACTCGGAAAGGACCAGTGACACCACGGGGCAGTAACATCTTGTGCTTTGCCAACGTGTGACCAGGCAGGAGGGGCTTTGCGGTGACTCTTCTGCGCGTGCGAAAGCACAACCGTGCTTGTGGAGCTTGTTCTTTGAGACGTGCCCTGTCCTGGGGGCAGAGCAGCTTGCAGTGGAGGTAGGCCCGAGGGACGTTGGTGGACTCCTCTGGTTGATGTGCCCTCCCGAGGGGCGCCTCTCCCCGCTTCTGTAGGCGGGTGTCCCCCAGTGTGTGCAAGTAGCAAAGCCCCTTCTGGTCGTGGCTGCAAAACTCTTAGTGCTCTGCTTGACGTTCAGCCCCACTGCGAGCTGTCGGATACTTCTGACAGAGCCATGGCCGTATAACAACCTGGTCTCCTTCTGGAGCTCAAGACTTGAAGCTGTGCTCTGGAA